TGGGAATTTGTGTATGGTTAGAACTAGATGTTCTTTAAGAATCACCAATCATGGCTCAGTGAACCTATAGTGATTGTGGTTGCTGCTTGCAAGACACACCCTGGATAACATACCCAAGAAACGAAGCCAGCCCACTGGGTTTTTACTCATTCTTCACATGACAAACATATGTTTGTTGTACCACCTATATAGGTAGCAAAGGAGATTTTCTGGAACATTTGAGTAACACCAGTGATCCTAATCCCACTCCTGTTGAAGGTAAGGTTTGTACTCCAAATAATCCCAGTGTTGGGACATCAGGATCATGTATAAGCTAAAGATTCCAGTATAATGTATCAGTATTATCAGAAAAATTATACCTTGCCTTTTAAAAAGAATTGACAGCAAATCAACGCAGGTCCAGTCTGACTGCTTTATTCATTCCTTCAGGATATGAGTTACTCCTTATGCCAAAACATTTGCCATTTTTCCCCTCAGAAGATTTCCCTGAGTGGTGTTCCCAGAAGAAAACAGACACCTGTCAGGGATGGTCTAGATGGTGCTTGGTCCTGCCATGAGGACAGGGGACTGGACTCGATGACCTCTCGAGTTCCCTTCCAGTTCTAGTGTACTATGGTTTTATGATTCTAAGAAAACAGTTACTTAAGTGGAAACAGGCAGTATCAACCCAGATCATCAAGCGTCAGTGAGAAGGAATGAAATGTGCATTGCAGACAAGCAGGGTAAGCCAAAATTCAACAATGCATCATTCACAGGCCAATCACAAGACAGACATAATAAGTAAGTTGGAGGTAGGCGCATAATTTTGAAGTAAGCAGGGTTCTCTGCTTGGTGTTGCCTTCCAGTTCCCTCAATTTAAACCTTTGAGCATCAGGCTTGTCCCTATTTTCTTTTTAGTTATCTCCTGGAATCCAATCCCACATTCAGTGGATCCTCCCCGTAGGCTGGGAGAGGGTCCTTTAGCAGTGGGCAAGGTTATGCCCGCCCACTTCCCTGGACCCCAACAGGGCTACTCTCTTATAGCCATCTGGTCTTAGTCTGTCACAGTATGCTCAAGAGCCTTTCCCCAAGGCCAGCTCCTAAATACTGCACGGCTGTGCGGAGGCAAGCAGGCTGCATGCTTGTGTCAGAGATGGCAGAGTGAGGAGGGCCACACTGGTTTGTGGGATATAGGAAAAAAGGTGCAAAATATAAATATGATTGTATATATGTGATATGTGTAACAGTAAGAGATGGTGAACAGTCACTGTGTGAAGGTGATCCCTGTGTAACCTATTTTGGCTCTACAGTAGAGTGGTGAATTATACCTGTCAATGATGCACCACGCTGTGGATTGTTGAGACAAACATTTCTGGTGGGTACACTCGGCGCTGATGCAAGGACTCAAGCAGGCCTGCACATGTGTGACATACACCTGTGGTGACTCCATGGTGACATAAGATGAGTTAATGTTAAGTCTGTAGTGCAGATATGGCCTTAGAACTATGGGAGGTTTGGAAGAGATAACTGGGTAAGTATGAGGACAGGCCAAGATGCAAGCGTTTAGGTTCCTGGTTTTGTGGAACTGGTCTTACACTCTAACAGCTCAGGAACAGAGGCACAGGAAAAGAACCCCATGTCATTTTTTCCTTGTTTTGACTCCAGGGTTTATAACTCATGATTTTTTAACTCTTGTGGTTGTCAAGCTATCATGGAGTTATAGGGGCATGTTGTGAGGGCCCAAACTACAACTGGATTAAAAAAAGACTTAGCTACGTCCCTCACAATCTATCTGTGGTTATTAGCCACACATCCCCGTTCTCTGGATGTTCCTTCACCACTGAGTGCCTGATGCTGTAACAGGAGCATGCTGGAGGGATCCCTTGATGATACCCTGCTCTGTTCTTTCCCTCTGAAGCCTCTGGCACTGGCTGCTGTGCAAAGACAGGATCCGGGGCTAAGCTGAGAGTTGGTCCAACCCAGGAAACAAAAGAGAGGACTGTGCAGCACTTGCTTGTTAGTCTTTAAAGTGCTGCACAGTCCTCTTTTGTTTCAGCAAGATCAGACTAACAGGGCTGCATCTCTATTACTATTCTGACCTGGGAAAGACATTGTTCTGGTCAGAAGAAGACCTTTGCCTTTGGGAAGGGTGTGACAGGAGACAGAATAATCCGCCCTTGAATATTTGTGAACCAAGTGCTACACACAATCAGTAACATCAAAATGCACGAGCCAGGGGGCAAGTTGCCCCCTTTGCAACTTCGGGGACCCTGTGCTCCCACTGACCAGCAGCCTCCCTGGTGGGGAAGTAAAATCCCCTCCCCCCT